TGTACATTCCCCCTGTTCCAAAACTATTATGTTTACATTATGACTTTAGCCTTGTTGATAGGAATACATCATTAGAATGCTGAACTGTATGTCCCGATATGGACATTTACAAATAAAAATAAATAATACCTCCTGAGGAAAATCAAAGACTGATCTTCTTATTCCCTTGCAGCATGGCCTTGTATGAATCACTGAATTTTTTCGAGAAACAAATTCCTTGTGTATAAAACAAGCAAAATAATACCCACCTGACAGGATTGCTGGAGATTAAATGAAATGGCATAGGTTAGAATGCTTATAAAGTGGAAACTGTCTTATGAATATCCTCTTATTAAGGTTAGTATTTCCATTTCCAGGGTTATTATATACTGTTTCTTCCAAGATCACTGAAGTTTTCTTATTCCTACAATTCAGCTCTTCAAAATAGGTATGCTGGCTGTTAAAAACATGACCATTATTTTAAAATACCTTATATAAATTTACAATTAAGTACATTATATTTAAAACAAAGGTAATAAAAACTAAAAACTCATCATACCCTAATTTTTAAAATATATTTCACTATTACCTATGCTCTTCAGCTTTTGCATCTATAGTGTGCAACTGTACATTTCTTTACAACTCTGCATTCAGTGATGTCATACTAGTCATAAGGAACAAGGTACTAATAATATTTTTTAATTTAGTATTTTAAATGTTGAGTTAAGGAATTTAGAGAATTGTCAACAGAGATAAGGAATTTACTACTTTCTAGTAGAATGAGAAAGTGATTATATAGAGTAGGATGTCAGAAGGTGGTAGGTGATTTCCTAACCTAAGAGAATAGATTCAGAATTGGGTCTTTGGGGAATAAAATGGTACAAGAATGGTAATAAGAAGTGGGAGACAAAGTGTGACTATATTGATGCGGTCAGAAAGTAGAATGTGGTTGTTAAATTCAAAGAAGGCTAACCTGGATGTGAAGGTACTTACAGGTCATAGGATCTTTAGTTGCCAATGATAACTACAGAGGCAAGATGGCAAGGCCTGGGATTTCCAAACTGTGCCCTGAGGTGCCCTGCGGTGTCAGAATGAATTCAAAGGGACAGCATGGGATATTCTTAATTTTTGAGGGAAACACAGTGATATGTGACATCTGTGGAACATGGCTTGAACTAGCTGCTCAAGGTATTCTCAATCTCAACATTAGATTATACTATATTTATTCTGATGGTGTCATAGTTTTGCACAGCTAGTCTCTCGCGGTTGCAGAGACAAAGAAAAAATGCTTAATGAAAATTACTGAGAGATAGGAATGAGGGTGGTGATTTCTCATCTGATCCCAAGGTGTGAGAAGCTATGCAGGGCCCAACAGGCACACATACCCCATTAGAAATTGTGGTTACTTAACAATAAAATTTAATGCTGTTTTCCATTTCAATTTATATGTATTATTTTTTTTCAAGTGGCTACTAAGTTGTTAAAACTCAAATACTTATTCAGTTATTTGGATCTAACTACTTACTGAAAAAGAACTGTTTGTTCGGGGTTTTTGTTTGTTTTGGCTTCAGGGACCATGAAAAAGTTGCGGAGACATTACGGGTGCTGTGGACTGAAAAAGTGTAGGAACCTCTGGCTCCTCAAACTCATGAAGAAGGAATGGATGGGTTTCTGGGTGCAAAGCAGCACAAAACATAGCCATATTAAATGCAGCAAAAATGTTGTATTAAGCATATAAAAAGGTATTAAATATAGAAGTGAAGTGTAGGAACCAGAATAATAAGAAATAATGTATGCAGAACTCCTTGTAAAAGCAAAGGATGGAAACAGCCCAAACGTCCTGAAATAGAAGGATGACCAAATCAACTGAGGGACGGCACCTGATGGTGCTGACTGGGCAGCTGTAGAAAGAAACAAATACGTTCTCTTTACACCATTGTGAAATCCTCTCCAGGATATAACACTAGATAAAAAAAAAAATCAAAGTGAAGGAAAGTATGTCTAGTATATCATCATTCATCTAAAAGAAGGAAGGGGAAATGAATATATATATATATATATATACACACACACACACATAAATGTTGGCTTATATGTAAAATTTAAATGGAATCATTTTTTTTAAATGATCATTAGATTTCAAGCTTTCATCTAGGTTGCAGAAAGCCTGAAGGAAAATACCACTCTCATTTACAGCAACAACAACAAAAAATGAATGATCTGCAAAATCAAAACTTTTCTTGAAGACATCAGAGAACTGAGTTCACAGGGCAACCAACTAAGGCAAAATATAAGGAAAGTCAAGAGCCTTCAGTGATCAAGACACAAGCACTCCTTATAGGGGACAGACTCCACTAGATGCCATACAAGCCAAGGGGAAGAATTCAGCTAAAATTTTCAATGAAGTGCTAAAAGTGTGAGAGTATAGAACCTCTGAGAGTCATCAATGCAGGGAAATGCACAGCCATTGGTGCTTACAGTAAAGTCTGAGCAAACCCTTCGCATGGTGCAGTCCAGCGGAGAGATGAATTCCTTGAAAGACACAGATAAAGCTCAGAAAGAAACATATGACTTGACCAGCCCTGTAACTATTACAGAAATCAAAATAACAGTTTTTTTAAACTATCCAACAACAACAACAAAAACTCCAGGCACCAATTCCTTCACTGGCAAATTTTACATAGTATTAATAGAAGAAATAATATTAACTCTACAAAAACTCTTCCAAATATAGTTAGGAAGGAACACTTCCCAACTGATTTTCTGAGGAGAGCATTACCCTGATGCCAAAATCAGAAAAAAAAAAAATACACTGCAACAAAATAAAGCTGCAGTCCAGCAGTTCTCATGAGGCCAGATGCAAAAATTCTCAACAAAATACTAGCAAATTGAGTCTGGAAAAAAAAAACCATTAAAATACATCATAACCAAGTGGAGTTTATCCCAGGAATATAAGACCAGTTTAACATTCAGAAAGCAATCAAGCTAATTCATCATAACAACAGACTAGAGTGTCAGGAAGCTTAGGGAGAGTGAAACCCAGAAGATCAGAGTGTAGTCAAATGCAAATGTAGTAAAATGAGTGAAGATTTATGATTGTAGTCACAAATAGTCCAGTGACAAGTTTTGTAATCCAGATGTTCCTGTAAATATTTCAGAGCAGAGACAACTTTTTTGCACTGGATAAACTAAAGGTCCATGGGATTGCTTCCTAGTTTAACTATGGTTAATCCTTCTCCTAAAGGAAAATTTCTACTTCTGATTTATGTCTCTTTTCAAAGTGATGTGGGGATAGGAGATTATAATAATGTTTCTACACCATCAGTCACCAAGAATAGGCAGATATTACTACAGCACACATTTCCATATGTCATCTGTAATCCTCACAAACTGAGAGAAAGAAAGAGAGGAAAAGAGAGAAAGGTAAAAAAGGAGGAGGGGAGGAAGGGAGGAGTGAAGGGGAAGGAGGGACAGAAGAACTGCCTATTCAAAGACAAATAATTTTCTGCATAGAAAAGCTTGAAATATTTACAAAAAAGTTACTAGAACTAATAAGTGAGTTTAGTAAGGTTATAAGACATGAGATCAATCTCTAAATCAATCATATTTCTTTATACTACCAATAATCAATTGGAATGCTTGACATATATTATATATTATATTAAATATATTATATTATAGACATGTTATAAAAATTGTTTTTCTGGGAGACATGTAAGCCAGTGTCCTTAGAGATGAACTGGGTCTCCAGTTATAGAAAAGTTTTTAAAACTCTGATTCCTGGAAACTTTACTAATAACTTCTGTTTGAGTATTTCATATCCAAGGGAGTTTCAATGTCAGTTTATGTTTCTTCTTTTTATCCTAGCTGTGTTGAAGTAATCCTTTAGGGAGCATCATCATATTCTTCTAATGCAGGTACTTATTATTACCCTTATTCTGCAGATAATAACTGAGGCATAGCACTCTTGAAATTTGCTCAAGGTAACACAGTGAATTAGAACTATCTCAGATTTAGAAGTTAGGATTTCACATTTTTTTAGAATAGAATTTACTTTTCCTGGGGTGTAGAATAATTTCCTAATTACACGGAGGAGGAAACAATGGAATGTTATGAAATTTTTGTTGCTGCAGATGCATTTTATTTACTTTATCAATAGGGACTATGTAAATTTCATAAGGCCCTTTGATCAAAAATTTAAATTTTAGGATAAAAACAGCTAGGCATAAAGAGTAAAGAAAAAAATCTGAGATACTGTAGAGTTCAGAAGCAGAGCTTCAGTAAATCCTGCTGGGAAAGCTGGAGAGCTACATGCAAAAGAACCAAACTGGATTACTTTCTCATACAACATACCGAAAAAAACCACAAAAAACACAAAACCAGTAAAACCTCAAAATGGATTAAAGGCTTAAATGTAACACTTGAAACTATAAAACTCCTAGAAGAAAACATAGACACTACGGGCTTAGCAATATTTTTTTGGATCTGTCTCCTCAGGCAAGGGAAACAAAAGCAAAAATAAACGAATAGGACCTAATAAAATTGAAAAGCTTCTTCACAGTGAAGGAAACCATCAACAAAACAAAAAAGTAGCCTACTGAATGGGAGAGGATATATCAAAACAATATGTCTGATAAATGACTAATATCCAAAATATGCAAAGGACACATACAACTCAATATCAAAAAACAAAACAAAACAAGCAAACAAGCTGACTGAAAAACAGGCAGAGGATCTGAACAGACATTTTTCCAAAGAAGATACACAGATGGCTGACAGACACATGGACACATGAAAAGATTCTCACTGTCACTAATCATCAAGGAAATGCAAATCAAAACCACAATGAGATACCACTTCATATCTGTCAGAATGGTTCTTATCAAAAAGACAACAAATAACAAATGTTGGCAAGAATACAAAGAGAATCTTCATGCACTGTTCATGGGAATTAAATTGGTACAGCCACTATAAAAAACAGCATGGAGATTGCTCAAAAAATTAGAAACAGAGCTGCCGCCATGGCTAGTCAGTCGCAGGGCATCCAGCAGCTGCCCAGGCCGAGAAGCGGGCCGCCGAGGAGGTGTCGGAGGCCCGCAAGCGAAAGAACCGGAGGCTGAAGCAGGCCAAAGCAGCAGCCCAGGCTGAAATTGAACAGTACCGCCTACAGAGGGAGAAGGAGTTCAAGGCCAAGGAGGCTGCGGCTCTGGGATCCCACGGCAGCTGCAGCACTGAGGTGGAGAAGGACACTCAGGAGAAGATGACCATCCTCCAGACCTACTTCCGGCAGAACAGGGATGAAGTCTTGGATAAACTCTTGGCCTTTGTCTGTGACATCCGGCCCGAAATCCACGAAAACTACCGCATAAATGGATAGGGGAGGAAGGAAGACGTGCCCGTTCCATGGCTGGCGTTTTAGATGCCTTCATGGAATGGAAAGCTTTAGCAGGGCTTGAGTTATATTCTTGTGAAAAGGCATTAAATTATTTCTGTATATTACATAGTAGGTTCCTTCACTTTTTGCAGAATAGCAGATCTAGCTTCTTCATACAAACTTGGAGCTTATCCAAAGATTTTTATCTTTTTACCTCATATTTCTTAGCAATTTAATGCATATACGTTGTTTTCTTATGCCTTTTTGCTCAAGCAGCATATATATCAATACTGAATTTTTCTTTCTTAGATATAGTTAAACTTTTTTTTTTCTTAAGAAAGAAAGGGATTAAAATTTTTTTTTCCCTAAAGCTTTCTTGAAGGTCAGGGGCTTTATCCATGAAAAAGTAGTAAATAGTTACTTGTAATCTACATGAATCAGCAGCCAGCCTTAAAATAGTCCTTTCTGGCTAAGGGTTAGAACAATGAGTACTAGTATAATTGTTCGGGCTGCTTTCAGTGTCTCTTAATCAAAATTACTAGATGATAGAATTCAAGAACTTGTCACATGTTATTACTTGGTGTACTGATACTCATTTAAAAGTAAAGACTGTCATACACTTTCCTCTCCAAAAAAAAAAAAATTAGAAACAGAACTACCATACAATTCAGCTATTCTACTTCTGGGTATTTTCCCAAAGAAAACAAAAACACTAATTCAAAAAAATGTATGCACTCCTATGTTGATTGCAGCATTATTTACAACAGCCAAGATATGGAAGTAACCTAAATGTCCATCAATAGAAGAATGAATAAAGAAGATGTGGTAGATATATGTATAATGGAATACTACTTAGCCATAAAAAAGAATGAAATCTTGCCATTTGCAACACTGGATGGACCCAGAGGGTATTATGCTAAGTGAAATAAATCAGATAGAGAAAGACAAATACTGTATAATCTCATTTATATATGAAATCTAAATCACAAAACAAACATAACAAAACAGCAGCAGACTCACAGATACAAGGGGGTGTGGGGTGGAGATGCAGGAAATAAGTAGAGAGATTAAGAGGTACAAACTTTCAATTATAAAATAGTCATGGGGATGTAATGTACAGCACAGAAATGTAGTCAATAATACTGTAATAACTTTGTATGGTGACAGATGGTAACTCAACTTATCATGGTGATCATTTTGCAATATATGAAAATATCAAATCACTATTTTATACACCTGAAACTAATATAATACTGTAAGTCAATTATACCTCAATTTAAAAAAAAAAGAGCAAGAGGGAAAAAAAGAAACAGAGCTTATCACTCTAATAAAAGGCTATAAAATATCACACCAGCTTCAGATAGCTGGTTTCAGGTGTATTTAGTTCCCAGTAATGACACCTTTTTCCCACCAGTTCCTTTCTGGTTCTTCCCTTAATATGTAACATTCTTCAAGTATCACAAGGGATATAATATTTTATTTACTATGCTTAGAAAATTCATAAAATATTTTATATTAAAAATAAAAGTTATGAATAAAATAATTCCTTAACAGAATAAATGGAAAAACAGATTCAGTTTGTAGTCTCATGATAGAAATGTTTATGCCTGGATAAAAGTTTATTTAAATCATTCAAGTAAACATTTTAATTAAACTATGTACCTTGAAGAAGAAAACCCAATTACAGGTTTATACTCGTGGAGAACTCTCTATCTAGTTATGTTTTGTTTTCATTTCCCTGACTCTAAGTAAAATCACAATTATTTCAAATATTAGTACCAGTGGTATAATCATAATTTCCAGGTTTTTAACAAAATAATCTCCCAAGAGTTCTAGCTGTCCAACATCCCGCCTACTCTTTCACTTCCTCTCTCGGTTGTTGATGTATACAAACATTCTTTCTTCTGCAAAAGCCATTCGTGCCTCTTCTTTCAAGAGGCCTCAACCACACAAATTCAACCATAGTGGCAGCCACCTACACTGATGACATTCAACCAGCAATAGGTATGGGTTTGATCATTCAGAATTTAATCTCAGCCTTCCCTGCACACTCAATGCCACCATAAAGTCATCGAGAAGTACAGCCACATATCCTTTAGATTTTGTTTTTGTTGATTCACTCATCTGGACACAGTCCCATATGTTATAAAACCATGGAAATGCAAATTTGGTAACAGTAAATGCCTAATCACTATTGGCAACTTTTCAGAAATTAAATATTTCATAACTGTGACTCAGTCATTTACTGCAATCTAACTCACAGAGACGGTTATGTTTAATTTTCCTTCCTTGATAATGTAGACCAAAACTTTTTAAACATGTCCTCAGTCTTTGGGAAAGTAGGTGGACCATGGCACCTGCCTGGCAGACGTTACAGAAGCAGCTAATTTTGATCAACATTTTACACAGCTGTCAGGTATGCAAAGATACACTAGACAGGGCAGCGTAAGAAGTAACTTTCACTGGTGTCATTCACAAGCCACACTGAGTGCTCCATTGTAAGATAGACCCACCAATAACGAAGCCTTCAAATCCAGCTGGTATAAGAGTGGGGCTGAGACTAGGGTCTGGTATATGGGGTACCTAGGCTGGAAAATTTAAAGAGGCACTCACTTGCAGGGCCCTGAGTCCCCACCCTGCTGAAGAGCCCCAAAGTCATGTCTGTAGGATCCAGGAGCACCTGATCTCCACATTCCACAGCTGAAGCAAAGCTTCAGAACCAATCTTCCCTGAGGTAGTAAAGGTTTGCTCATCTCCAGACCAGTGTTTGGAGGGAGACTCAGCTATTTGCCTTGAGGGACCAAGACCAGCATGATGAGCTCATTTCCTTATTAGGATTAAGTCCCTGCACTTCCCGTCAATGACTGTGTGATAAAGACCCAGTAGCCCCCTTTTCAGATCCTAGAGCCCAAAATCTAGTCCAGTATCTCAGGTCCCATCAGTTCCTGACAGAATTCCTGATGCAAATCACCTACTAAGATGGCAATATTACCGCTCCCTTGATTTCGCCTCCTTGCTATTTGGTCTAGAGCCCGTCCATGTTCTTACCCACACATTCCTGGTGCCGTCTGCTGGCTGAGACTGCCCTTTGGCCGGCTAGTCCAGGCTTCTTGGGGTCTGTGGCTCAGTCTGTCTCCTTTCACTTAGCTCCCAGTTAGTTCTACACTATCAGAGTTAACAGGACCATCCAAATATTGTGACAACCACAAGTGTCCCCACATATCTTAAATCTGTGTTCTATTATACTGAGAAAGCAAGGAAAAACTGTTTTGGGGGTATTATTTATTCAAAACCTTGGAAGTCAAGCTAATAATACACATCACTTTTATAAAATACTCAATATTGAACTATGTATTACTAAACCCAGTGAAATATATTAAGAATGTAGCATCAGAGGAAGAGTATACATATCATTCATAAATATGAAATTAACCTATAAGGAAGGGACACAACAGCAACGGACTTAAGTGAAAGCCCCATGAAAGAAGGAAGAACAGCCTAGTTGTACTGTGGGCTCCAGACAGGCAGCCCTAAACCAATCAGGTAAGACAAATGATGCCAAGTAACCCTAAAGTGTGACTTCAAGCAACACAGGAGTTACAGCAGCTGAGGGAGAAGACAGAAGCAACTGGGGATAAATGAAAAAATAAGACAAAATGTGAAAGAACTTTGAAAACATTTCATCACCCCATTAATATGACTATCACCATATTGTTTAGTATTATGTCATCTTGGGTGGCCTCTGTAAGTAACGAGAAACATCAGAACCAGACAGAGCCATAAGAAACAACCCATCCCCAATCCACCCCATAGGGAGATGAACATCTGTAGACAAATCAGCAGTGTTTCTGGCCACTCAGTACAGAAACAATGGTGGGTGAGAGTCAATCCAGAAATTAAACAGAGCTCCCACTAGGCCAGACACTGCCACAGAAGGTGAGGTGCCAAAAAGACAAATAGACTGGGAAGCTCAGTCTCTTTAGCTTTACAGGTAAGCCTCACCATCACCTCCAAACACTAATTAAAATGACATCCCATGTGTCAGGAGGGGTGTGTTCCTATTAGGTTCCTACCAGATCAACTGCAGTGAACTCTAGAGGTTTGGGGGAATGGAGCCAGGAGGTGTGTTAAGAGAATGCCAAATTTTAGTTTTTAAATAATATAATATTTGGAAGTTATGTTTTCAAAAAATAATTATCTAGTGATTCAAAAATAATTATCTGGTGAATAAGACTTCAAATCTGAATGTACTGTCAAAATTTTAACATATTTCATAGTTTCTTTTCAGGGCCAGGTATTACAAACCAAGGCAAATAAAATCCACTTTCATCAAACCTTCTCCAACTTGCTATACTTCCTCAAGTTTTGTCTTTCATTGTGCTCTTCCATATTCTGAACAAAGGGACACTTTAGAACTAAACTCTTTATCCTTCGCAAAACAAGATTCATTTCATTATCTTGCATTCTCTATTACTCCTACCCTTAATGTGGTCTTAGCCACCCATATTAATTACAACTTTTAACCAATTTAATAACTTCTATTTTATAAAGAAAAGTGGAGGTAGATTATTGAGAACTGTTATATGTAAGCTTTTTAGCATGTGAACAAAGTTCATAACTGCACACAACACAACTGTCTACAGCCACACATTTCTTTTACACCTTCTCAAAGTGGCAAAAATGAGCATGTACATTAACATGGCCCAAGAGGACAGCCATTCTATGGCATATAAAGGTGAGAAGCAAAGTATATAAACTTAAAACTATGTTTTTAAATCAATGTTGCAATATTCAACTTTTAAAATAAATAATTTAGCTATCTAATGATTAATCATTCATTAATTCAATTTAATGCTATCTTAGGGTTTTAAATTACCTAAAATGTTGCAATTATCTTTAAACTTACATAGCACAAAACATAATTACTGTTGATATAAAATAAAAAAGTATGCCTAAATTACTCATTTTAGTGAACACATGTTAACATTTTTCATAAACAAAGTCTCTGGCAATAATGCTACCTTACATCATGAGTAAATCAATATAAGAACGAATAATTAGGAAATTCAGATTAGCTAATCTCTTCATGATAAAACAAATCAGAATGTCATTAAAAATGTACGTGTATTTTACTTAACATTGAAAACTCAAAGAAAAGGCATATCATTGCCTTTTTTTTTAAACCAAAATGATTAATCCAGCTTGATTTCTTCAAAGACTCTTAAATATATACATTTGGATTCTTCAAATACTTCTAATCTAGCAGTTTTTGTAAGAAGAACTTCACTTCTTAAGGTTAGCACATTTAATATATTAGAAATTCTGGGCTTTTTTGTAAATTTGGGTATTTATGCAAGTGCATGCATATGTTCATAGAACAATCAAAACAGAGCTCCTTTAAGAGACATTACAGTGGAATTTATTAAAACCCTCCAGAGTATGAAAACATTTTACATTTACTTAGCAAGATATAAAGGCTGTTATAAATTATGGATGAAGACACACAGAGAGCTTATAACTTCAGTTATACAACCTCAATCCCAGGTTGAATGTACAATCAGAAACACAAAAACTCACCAGTCCAGACCTCAAAAAGCTGCTCTCCGTTCCAGTGGGCACAAAATTCTTAATCAATTTGAGCTC